GGATCTGGAGCTGGAATACAACTGAGGCCTGGATGTTATTTCTAGGAAGGTGACCTTCTGTATCTGCTGTAAATTGCTCTGTCAGTTTGTTCCGTTGTCTGTCTCAGTTTCTCTATTCCACTTGTCCTGGCTTTCTGGCCTGTCTCAATATCATGATGAACAAGGCAGATATCCCAAAGGCTTACTCTCAGGTTTACACATTTCCAACTTCCTCTGAGCCATCTTCCCCTGAATCCCAAATCTGACATGCCTCAAAGCGGGCTCTTAATATATGTGCTCCGAAATCTGTTTTACTGTGTTTCTGTGAATTTCACCACTCTTCATCCAATTCACCCATTTAATGACTATTCAAAACACCTCAATAGATGTCTCATTTGTCTTGTCTTGATGTAATTAATGCTGATTCTAAATCTACATCTCAAGTAATGACCTCTGAACATCTCCAACTGGATGTCTTGTGAGCATTTCAATGTTGTTTGCTTCAAACCAAACTGATTATCTTCTCCTTTAAAAGAGAATCCAATATAGGGTGGACTTCAGAGTTATACAACCTGGCCATAACACTGTAAGGTACAACTCCACTCTATGGGGCACCATTCATATTATCATATACTAGAGGCACAGTGCACGAAATTCATGCATGGGAGCGGGTTCCCTTAGCCCAGCCTGCACCCTCTCCAACCCAGGACTCCTCAGGGGATGTCTGACTGCCAGTTTAGGCCCAATCCAAGGGATCTGGCCTAAATCGGCAGTCGGACATCCCTCTCACAATCCTGGACTGCTGGCTCCTAATTGCTCACTTGCGGTCCTATCTGGTCACCCCTAACTGTTCTCACCTTCAGGCCTGATTGTCCCTAACTGCCCCCTCTGCCAGCCTGGTTGCCCCTAACTGCCCCCTGCTGCCGGCCAGGTTGCCGTCAACTGCCCTTCCCGCCCCCCGCCGGCCTGGTTGCGCGCACCCCCCCTTCCCGCAGCCTGCTGTTCAGTCGTTTGTTCATACTTTACTAACCCTCCTGCTGGCTTGGTTGCTCCACACAGCCTGCTGTTCAGTCATCCATCTGGTCATTGAGGTCAGGTCAGCCCTTAGCTTTTTATATTAGGATAATAAAAGCCTAAGTGGAGTTGCACAAAGTCATCACAAGAGGGCCACTGTGATGTTGTCATAAGATGGCTGCCATAAGATGGCTGCCATAAGATGGCTGCCATAAGATGGCTGCCATAAGATGGCTGCCATAAGATGGCTGCCATAAGATGGCTGCCATAAGATGGCCACCACACCCTGGCCAGTTTGGAGATAGCCTCGGCCTGTGGACTGAAGGGTCCCAGGTTCGATTCTGGACAAGGGCACATGCCTGGGTTGTGGGCTCAATCCCCAGGAGGGAGTGTGCAGGAGGCAGCTGATCAATGATTCTCTCTCATTATTGATGTTTCTCTCTCTCTCTCTCTCTTTTTTTTTTTTTAATATTTAAAAAAATATATTTTATTGATTTTATACAGAGGGGAAGGGAGAGAGACAGAGAGTTAGAAACATCGATGAGAGAGTCATCGATCAGCTGCCTCTTGCACACCCCCCACCGGGGATATGCAGTCCCCAAGCCGATGCTCTATCCATTGAGCCAAACCGGTCCCGGCAATGTTTCTCTCTCTTGCTCTCTTCCTTCCTCTCTGAAATCAATAAAGACATAAATATTTAAAAAAAGAAAAAAGAAAAAAAGAAAAAAGGTGACGGGCAAGGGAAGGCAGTTAAGGGGGCAATCATGCCAGCAAGGGAAGGCAGCTGTGGTCGAACAGGTCTGCGGGGGGAAGTTGTGGGTGACCAGGCTTGCAGAGAGGCAGTTTTTTTGTTTTGTTTTGTTTTTAAAATATATATTTTATTGATTTTCCACAGAGAGGAAGGGAGAGAGAGAGCCAGAAATGTCGATGAGAGAGAAACATCAACCAGCTGCCTCCTGCACACCCCCCACCGGGGATGTGCCCGCAACCAATGTACATGCCCTTGACCGGAATCGAACCTGGGACCCCCCAGTCCGCAGACCGACGCTCTATCCACTGAACCAAACCGGTTCGGCCAGAGAGGCAGTTTGGGGTGATCAAGCTGGCAGGGCAGGGCAGTTGGGGGCGATTGGGCCAGTAGGGGAGCAGTTAGGCATCAATCAGGCCAGCAGGGGAATGGTTAGGGGGCGATAAGGCTGGCAGGCATAAGTGGTTAGGGCCAATCAGGCAGGCAGGCAGGCAGGCAGGCAGGCAGGCAGGCACGTGGTTAGGAGTTAGCAGTCCCAGATTGTGAGAGGATGTCTCAGATTGGAGAGGATACAGGCCGAGCTGAGGGACACCGCCCTTCCGTGCACAAATTTCATGCACTGGACCTCTAGTAGTCTCTATATCACATTAGCATATTGTGCAACATGATGGCTCTGCTGCCCTGGGTAACAAAAGGCTCCAACACCTATTAGCTCTGACCTGGGGCAGTTTACTTAAATTCTTCAGTCATCAAATGCCTCAGCTATAAAATACATAGTATTCAGCAAGTGTTTATTATTAGCTTTAACCTCAAACCTGCTTCTCCAGTTTCCTATGCCTCTGGTTAGTGACATCACTCTGTCACCAAGAATAAAACACCAAGAAATTAGACTAAACTTCCTGTTTCTTCTTACCCTAAATCCAATGAATCCCAAGGCCTATAGAAATATCTTTCTTTCCTTCTTCCCATCCTGCTGTCTGGATTGTTGAACTAGCCTTCCAGTTGTTTTCTTTAGGTTCTGGTACTAAGAAGATAAATAAAAGAGGTGAAATCCTTCCTAGACTACTGCTGAACAAATGAGGACAAAACAATGGCATTTTTGTAAAAACGGAGCTAGAGATTTATACCAAGCCCTACAGAAGAATAAAGGAAGAAACTCCTCATTTCTGAAATCGTTACTGCTTCCTGAGGAAAGACCCAACAATCATTTAATTAAACAAAAAATATTTAACAGATTTCTTCTCTTTTTAAAACTCTGTTCTGCTATTTAATTTTTTAATATTCCCATGGGGATAGTTTGTTGCCATTTCCCTGGGCCATGGTAACTCTTTTGGTTCTTAAATGAAGCAAGCCCAAGTGCCCAGTCCAGGACCTGGCACAAGGGAGATACAATAAATGGTAATTTCCTTTTGGTTGAAGTAGGACAGTGTGTTGTCGGATTAATCTGCTCATACCATTAATAACCCACAGTTACACTCTGAAGTCTATGTCTCTCCTGCCTCCTCAAGAAGGAAATGAATAATGGCCAAATAACTGTTCAGCCTCAGGAAAAACAAATTTAAAAAAATCACTACTATTGCAAGGTAGGATGATAAATACTAAAAGCGAATTGAGATGCTCAGTCAGCATGACAAAGCACTTCTCCATTTCCTATCTTCATATAAGGTCTAAAGGAATTGTGGAGGGTGGACAGAGCTGGGGACATAACACTATTTATTAAATGCTCCTATTTTAACATCAGGTGCTCTGTTGTCACATGGGGGCATAGAGATGACAAGAAAATCAGCCTAGCAAGGAAAGGCAGATATGTAAACAAGTAAAATAGCTTAATTTTTTTTTTGGCTATACAGGCTATTGTTTGGAATCAAAGGCAAGAATGGCCATTACTGGGGATGAGCAAAACTCAGAACAACTTTAGAGGAATTCTGGGCCAAGGACAAGAATGGTTTCAAGTAAGCTTCAGCTGCATCTTTAAAGACTTTGGGCCAACTAGGAGGGAACAGTTTCTGAGACAGCACAGGGACCTGGGCCAGGATCCCAAGGACACCAGGTAAGAAAAACCACAGAGCTGATAGTACTCCTCTCACTGGCAAGGGGTCCCAAGGAATCAAAAGGCCAGAAAACACACACCTGGTAAGCCTACCACAAAAATGAAATCACTCCTCCTCTCCCTAGGAAAAAAGTCTTATCTTCCTTCTAAGAACTTGTTTCTCATACACTGACAAGCAAAATTCCACAAGCTGGGTCTCACCCCCCACCCCCCAAAAGCTGACCATTTCACACAAGTCTGCTCTGCCTCCAGCTTATAAAAACACCTAAACAGAGCCAGAGGACCTTCCTCTCCTCTATGCCGCCTCTCTTGTGCTCTAGCATAAGTTTAATAAAAATGTGTCCGGAAATTTCTCTGGGGGTTCCCCTTGATTTTTATCTTGGGGAACCCAAGAATCCCAACAGTGGTAATATTTCTTCATACTTGCTTGAACAAAAACTTGAAGGCTTGAAAGAGCCACACACTGTTCTGGGTGTTACAATCAAGACGCCAAAGTTATAGTAATGATGTGTAGTAAGAACTGAGTACTGTGCTCAATAAACTACAAAAGTGATCTCCATAAAAAATTAACAGCATTCCCATTTTACAAGTAAGAAAAGTGAAGCTAAAGGATTAAGACTCTTGCCTAAAGGCCACACATAATAAAATGGCAGTGAGACGCTTTACTTCAGGAAATTGCTCCAGTTTTTTTTTTTTTTTAAACCACAAATCAAGAGGAGTGACACGATCAGATTTCAAAAATATTCCCTGCAGATTTAGTGAGAGGTATGGATGGAGACGGGGAGCAGCAACCTTGTCATTAGAACAACGAAGGGGGCTGTCTAGGCACTGAGGGGGTTACTGAGGATTAACACTAAGGCAGAGGATGTGGGACCCAAGGGGAAGGAATATTTGGATAGCTCGCAGCGCTTGTTGTGGTTAAATGTGGTCCAGCAGCGAGACCCTCTATCCAGGTTTGGGTTTTGAGCGCAAGGCACGCTCCCCATTACCTCCCGTCCCCACTCCCCACCCCTGTTCCCGAAGAAATCCCGGATAACGGAGGCGTTTGGAGCCGATCCAGAGTGCGTGCCTCCCTCTGCGACCCCAGCCGCGGGCGGCAGGTACGGGGGTTTGGTTGGTACCTCCGGCACCGGAGCCCGCCCCCAGGGCGGGAAAGCGCTGAGTCTTTCCGGCTGGGAGCGTTGGATCCGGCTGGCTTCCGGCCAGGTCCCCCTCCTCGCTCCCCCTCCCGCACCGCGGACCCGCTCTCACTCTCGCGAGAACCACGCCGGCTATAAAGGCAGCGGGGCGAGCCCACGCGCGCGTTTCGGGACGCTTCTTCCTGTCGGATCGGTTTTGCCATTTCTGCCTCCGGCCCGGTGAGTGTGTGGGCCTCGCGGCCTCCGCAGGGCGAGCGCCCTGCATCCCGCTCGTCGCCTTTTCTTCCTCCTCCTTCCGGTACCCCCGCCCCCCAACTCCTGGGCTCACCTGGGGGGCCCTGAGACTCTGGAGGCGCCCGGGAGCGGCCTGCCGCCCGGGAGCGGCCCGGCGGTTCTCGTTCCTTCGCGGGGACACGCCTCTGGGTCCTGGGCGTTGGGTGAAGCCCGAGGCTAGCGCAGGCTCGGGTCTCCTCCCTTCCACCGGTGCAGAGGGCACTGATTGACTCGCAGGGGCGGGCCAGTGGTGGTGTCCCCGCCATTAGGGCGGCTCGAGAACCTTCTGGAATGGACTCGGGAATTGACCCGAGGCCACCCCTCTCTCGCGTTTAAAAAAGCTGCCCCTCTGTCCTAGGCCGTTACTAGCTGCGAGACTTCGGGTGTTACGGTTCCCTTCCCCGCCTTTATTTTTCCACCTGCAGAATGGGGAGTGTGGGGATCCCAGATTCAGGCGATCGCTCGGTGAAGACGCCTCTTTGCTGCTGCTGCTGCTTTCCGAAGTGCTGGCGGGGAGTGATGATGGGAGAGGCGGGAGGGTGCTTTATTAAATATATTTTATTGATTTTTTTTACAGAGAGGAAAGGAGAGGGATAGAGAGTTAGAAACATCGATGAGAGAGAATCATCGATCAGCTGCCTCTTGCACACCCCCTACTGGGGATGTGCCCGCAATCAAGGTACATGCCCTTGACCGGAATCCAACCCGGGACCTTTCAGCCCGCAGGCCTACGCTCTATCCACTGAGCCAAGCCGGTTTCGGCGGGAGGGTGCTTTAAGTGGGATTTGAGGGTGTGGTTTTTGGCTGGAAAGTTCTTGGGCAAAGTTCTGACAAGTCCCACTCGGGCTGGAAGTCCAAACGGGCTTTTCCCGACTGGTTCGGCTTTAGTGGGGGCCGCCTGGAAAAGCAGGTTCGGACGAGGCCACTTATGGAGGGTCACACTATATTTGGTCGTCAAGTTGCAACGTCCCTTTGTGTGTGTGTGTGTATGTGTGTGTATGTGTGTTTGTTGTTATTAAAGGTATTAAACAGTGAAAAGCTCAAAGCATTTGCTTTCGGTTGTGGTAGTATGACTCAAAACCGTTGGTACTAGAAAATTAGCTTCTTGAAGCTTTCAAATCGTTGGCTCACCTGCTTCTAATTCTTAACTCCCTGGAGTTGACCTGGGTGAATCCAGTGCAACATTCCTGTTTAGCAATAAATTGGCTCTTGTACTTAATTGCGCCAGGATCGTGACCCTGAGGTCAGAAACCCTCCCCCCCCCCTTTTTTTTCTTTTTTTCTTCAGAAACCCATTTTTGAAAGGACTTCTAGGGCTTAAACACAGATACCTAAAGTTATGAAATTGAGCAGATGCCAGAATTCTGGGTCTTGCTTCTTAAAAGGTTGAATTGGCTTTAGGGCACATGTGTCAAACACAAGGCCCGCGGGCCAAATCCGTCCTGCCAGGCCTTGCAATGTGGCCCGCACCGCGCTGTCATCACTGCACTCTGCTGCGTTTCCATCACAATGACAGTTTATGACTGTTCAGTAAACCATTCGGCCCGCGATTTAGGCTGGATTTTAGATTTTGGCCCCTTCTCTGATTGAGTTCGACACCCCTACTTTAGGGTATGTGTTCTTGGCAAATCTACCAAGTGTGCTTGAATATGAAGTGTGCTTTCCACATCATGAATACAGTCTGAGGCGGAGCCCAGGGAAAGGGCAATATTACTGGCTTTTGGGAGTCAGCACTCTGGCCTTATACATTTGGGTTCAGATTTGAGTCTCCAACCCCCCACTCCTCTCTGCTTCTGCATGATGAAATTATAAAGGAAAATGCCATTGCACAAATGATGGTTCAGAAAAAGTAAGGGAGGTTACTTCAATTATTAAAGAAATTGCTGTTTTTAAAGGAAAACAAAAGATATCCAAAGATGTATAATATCTGGTTTTCTTTCAAAAACTGGAAAGCTAAGCGAATGTTTCTTACTAATCTAGAAGTTAATGTAGGTGACGGGAAGATTTAACTTTGAATGGTGGGCACACGGTGCAATATATAAAGATCTTGTAACAGACCCACACCTGAAACCTATGTGACTATGTGGACCAGTGTCACCCAGTGAAATTAATTTAAAGAAAAGTTAATGTAGCCCTAGCTGGTTTGGCTCAGTGGATAGAGCATCAGCCTGTGGACTGAAGGGTCCCGGGTTCGATTCTGGCAAAGGGCACATGCCTGGGTTGCAGGCTCAATTCCCAGTAGGGGATGTGTAGGAGGCAGCTGATCGATGATTCTCATAATTGATGTTTCTATCTCTCTCTCCCTCTCCCTTCCTCTCTGAAATGAGTAAATAAATATATTTAATTAAAAGTTAATTTATATATTCAGAGCCACCAGATAAATTCTTTATTGTTCTACAGTTAAGTCTTAAGTTGATGGAGGGTACTGGTTATCTAGAAAAAGAAGACTTGTTTTAAGTTAATTTCCTCTTTTGTCCTTTCCAGCTGATAGCAAGATGTCTTCAGGAAATGCCAAAATCGGGCACCCTGCCCCCAACTTCAAAGCCACAGCTGTTTTGCCAGATGGTCAGTTCAAAGATATCAGCCTAGCTGACTACAAAGGTAAGTGTAATTACGTTAGGTCCATTGAAATGCAGTTATTTTGGTATCTGGAGATGGCTTGTTCAATTTTCGTATTTCTGTGCGTTTGATTATAAAATGATTTATGTCTTCTAGGTCCAGGTGTTCAGGGTGGTAGGCTGTTGCCTTCAGGTTGAAATGAAATCGTGATTATCAATAGTTATCACAGGGTGGTTAGCCTAGTTCAGACTATTTTGGAGAAAGCACATGCTTCATTATGCCTAAACTAATATATTAGCTCAGTTATCTTCTCACTACTCCTCAATTGTATTATTGGAGACAGTCTGATTATCTCAGTCTTACTATTTCATTATAAGAAGTCTTCAGCAATTTAAAATTTCAGAGCTCATATTTGGAGCTATGACACTGCTTCTTCAGTTTATGAAATTGTGTCATAGCTACTGTATTATTTAGAGGGTTTAGGCACATTCACTTGACTTTTGCACCCAGAGGAGAGTTGATGTCATTGTTGGAACAGCTCTCTTTCATGTTAGAGATTCATGCAGACACTTGTCAAGTTCTAATAAGGTCTCTTACCTCACAGTTGGGAGCAGCTGGGTCTTCTGGGACAATTGAACGCAAATCTCAAACTCCTGTGTCAAGTATAGATGTGGGTAGTGATCAGTTTCTGGAGTCAGCTTTTGGATCGAACATGTGACTAGGTTTCCTAACACTTGTTGGTGGAATGAGAGCAGGTTAGTGGGATCCAATGGAGGGAAGCTTCTGGCAAAACATGGTAAGTATGACTATAGGGAGGTGACCCTGGCTCAAGGGTAAAGGCAGTATGTTCAGGAAGAGCTGCTTTCTGCCCACTTGGGCTTGACCTGCTGAGGCCTCAAAGTACTTGTTAGGCAAAGCCCTGGAGAGAGGTTGTTTAGAGGAGTTTCTAGTGATTCTAATTTTCTTTTTCTTTTTTCTTTTTAATATGTTTTTATTGATTTTTTTACAGAGAGGAATAGAGAGTTAGAAACATTGCCAAAACCGGTTTGGCTCAGTGGTAGAGCGTAGGTCTGCGGACTGAAAGGTCCCAGGTTCAATTCCGGTCAGGGGCATGTACGTTGGTTGCGGGCACATCCCCGGTAGGGAGTGTGCAAGAGGCAGCTGGTCGATGTTTCTCTCTCATTGATGTTTCTAGCTCTCTATCTCTCTCCCTTCCTCTTCAAAAAATCAATAAAATATATTTTAAAAAAAGAAAGAAACATCGATGAGAGAGAATCATCGATCAGCTGCCTCTTGCACAAACCCTACTGGGGATGTGCACGCAACCAAGGTACATGCCCATGACCGGAATCAAACCCGGAACCTTTCAGTCTGCAGGCCGATTCTCTATCCACTGAGCCAAACTGGTTTCGGCATAGTGATTCTAATTTTCAAAGTGAATGTCAAAGGAGCAACTTGTTTTGACTCAAACATGGCTGCTGCCTGTTTCTATTCTAATTGAACTATTCTAATGATTCATTGCATTAGGTGTGAAAGGCTACCTGATCTTTGAAGATCTATTCAGTTGGTAATCGAGTGACTTCAGTAAAAATCTAACTGGAAGTCCTGTTTACTACCAGGATTTTTGGAATGTTTGACACACAAAAAATTTTTTGTCAGCATGGTTAGGAACATATTTGTGATGATTCAGGTGATCACTTAAACCTTACCCATTCCATTACTGTGATTCATTGTGAAAGAAGTGCAGAGGCTCTGACTTTGTCTTGTTGATTTCTTACTACTCTGCAACAGAGAATTCAGCATTTGTCTTTTATTGGACACTGATTATAAGCATTGGCATTGGGCTATCCAGTAGATAACTGCATTCTTGCTTTTGCTTTTCTTCATTGGAGAACTTGGTATCCGTGCTAATTTAGCTACCCAGAGAAGATAAAAATTAGACTGAACAGCCTGGCCAGTATGGCTCAATGGTTGAGTGTCCACCTAAGGAAAGGTTCATACCCAGGAGGGGGCATGCAGGAGGGGACCAATCAATGATTCTCTCTCTCTCCCCCTCTCTTTCCTCTCTGAAATCAGTAAAAATATATTTTTTAAAAATTTAGTTCTGCCCTAACCTGTTTGGCTCAGTGAATAGAGCCTCGGCCTGCAGACTCAAGGGTCCCAGGTTTGATACTGATCAAGGGCATGTACCTTGGTTGTGGGCACATCCCTGGTAGGGGGTGTGCAGGAGGCAGCTGATTAATGTTTCTCTCTCATCCATGTTCTAACTCTCCCTCTCCCTTCCTCTGTAAAAAAAATCAATAAAATATATTTAAAAAAATTTAGTTCTGTATTTGGTAGCTAATATGGAGACAAAAATAAAGCATGGACTAGAAGGAACATTTTTATTTTTTAAACACACTTAAAATATTTTTGTTGATTTCAGAGAGGAAGGGAGAAGGAGAGAGAAATAGAAACATCAGTGATAAAAGAGAATCATTGCCAAAACTGGTTTGTCTCAGTGGATAGAGCATTGGCCTGCGGACCGAAGGGTCCCGGGTTTGATTGCGGTCAAGGGCATGTACCTTGGTTGGGGGCACAATCCCAGTGGGGGATGTGCAGGAGGCAGCCGATCGATGTTCCTAGCTCTCTATCCCTGTCTCTGCCTCTAAAAAAATCAATAAAATGTGTGTATGTGTATGTATATGTATATATGTGTGTGTGTATGTATATATATATATATATATATATATATATATATATATATATATATATATATGTATATACACAATACAACAAAATTTAATCAACAATATAGTTGCCGTTGTTTTCTATTACTTGTGCCCAACGCTCAGGAAGCATTTTAATCCCTCTGTTGTAAAATTCTTGTGATTTTGATGCAAAAAATTCGGTCAATGCATTTTTGAGGCATTCTTCATTATTAAATTTTTTTCCAAGAAGAAAGTTTTGCAAAGAACGAAACAAATGGTAATCGGAAGGGGCAATATCAGGAGAATATGCAGGTTGAGGGAGAACTTCCCATTCCAACTGGCGCAGTTTTTCAGCAGTGATTCTTGCAGTATGCGGTTGTGCGTTATCGTGGTGAAGAATTACGCCCTTCTGATTAATCAGCGCGGGTTCTTTTTCTCTTAAAGCTTGGGCTAATCTTTCCAATTGGGCACTATACACTGCACTTGTAATGGTTTGGTTAGATGGTAAAAGTTCATAATGAAGAATTCCTTTAAAATTCCACCAAACACACAACATCACTTTTTTCACATGCAAGTCAGGTTTTGGCGTGGGCTGCGGAGCCTCATTTTTGTCCAACCATTGAGGCCGCCTTTTCAAATTAACATACAGCACCCATTCTTCATCTCCGGTAACAATTTGCTCTAAAAACGGCAAACGGTTTTGACGAGAGAGGAGCGAACTGCAAATTGTGACTCTTTGATTACGGTTGTTGTTGGTCAACTCATGAGGAACCCATTTTCCAAACTTTTGGACTTTGCCAAGTGCACGCAATTGATTGGAAATTGTTTTTTGTGAACAATTTAAAGTTGTCGCAAGCTCTTGTTGGGTAATTTGAGGATTTTGCACCAAAAGAGCTTGAAGAGCTTCTTGATCAAAATTGGACACACGGCCTCGACCACTCTTGTCATCTAACGAAAAATTTCCCTCGCGAAATTTCTCAAACCAACGCTGGCATTTTCTGGCGCTAACTGCATCTTGACCAAGAGCACTACAGATGTTTTTTGCAGCCTCACTTGCTTTTCTTCCTAATTGGAACTCGTAAAGCATGCAGTGCCGAATATGCTCTTCATCCGCCATCTTCTTAGCCCTAGTTTTGCAACAAAAACCAAACCAAACACAAACTTTTTCAAGCAAAACTTGTTAATTGCACTTCACACGTTCTGTAGATACCACGTGTTTGAAGGTTATGTCAATATAAGTCAACGCCAAGCAAGATTTTAAACGAATGTTTAAAAACGACATTAATTATTACTAGACCCAATATATTAAAAAAAAAAAAAAAAGAATCATTGATCGGCTGCCTCCTGCACAACCCCTACTGGGGATCGAACCCACAACCAGGGCGTGTGTCCTTGACCAGAATCAAACCCAGGACCTCTCAGTCCGCAGGCCAACGCTTTATCCACTGAGCCAAACTGGCTAGAGCTGGAACCCATTTTCCAAACTTTTGGACTTTCCATGTAGGTCCTCCTGCAAGATGTTATGAAAGTAGCTGCCAGGAGACATCTATGTTTTTGTTTTGTTTTTTAAAAAATATATTTTATTGATTTTTTTTTTTTTTACAGAGAGAAAGGGAGAGGATAGAGAGTTAAAAACATCCAATCAGCTGATTCCTGCACACTTCCCACTGGGGATGTGCCTGCAACCAAGGTACATGCTTTTGACTGGAATCAAACCTGGGACCTTTCAGTCCCCAGGCCGACGCTCTATCCACTGAGCCAAATCAGTTAGGGCAGAGACATCTATGTTGGAGCATCTTGACATCTAGCAATTGTGAGGCATCAACTTAAAAAGGACTCCCCCTCCCCCCCATAGGAATATATATTTTGTCTGTTCTCTGTAAAGCAAGGATGTCTGTTTCAGAGGCTAACTTGGGTTCTTTCTTCCCCCCAGGAAAATATGTGGTGTTCTTCTTTTACCCTCTTGACTTTACCTTTGTGTGCCCCACGGAGATCATTGCTTTCAGCGATAGGGCAGAAGAATTTAAGAAACTCAACTGCCAAGTGATTGGTGCTTCTGTGGATTCTCACTTCTGTCACCTGGCATGGTAAGTCTGTTGGTCCATTTGGCATGGACTTTTTAACTAAGCAGGAACTGGGATTTGGAGGTTTTGGCAATAGACTTTCTCAAGTATTGGCTTCTAGCTCCTCATGGAAGGAGTGCAAAGCTCTGGCTTCCTCTTGTTGCTTTCTTATTACTTGGCAGCAGAGGAGAAGCAGCTTGGGTTGCAGCTGAGTATACCCCGGTGACCTTAACTGTCCTTAGCCATTCATTTTACTGCTGGGAAAGTTTGAAGTTTTTGGGAAGTAGGCTAGAAATGTTGGAAAGGGGGAGCATGTAGATACAGTTAATGTATTTGCTACACAGCAATTTGTGTGGATGTGATTTATATTTGTGCCTTTTGCTGTAGGATCAACACACCCAGGAAGCAAGGAGGACTGGGACCCATGAACATTCCTTTGGTGTCAGATCCCAAGCGCACCATTGCTCAGGACTATGGGGTCTTAAAGGCTGATGAAGGCATCTCATTCAGGTATGAGATGGGTTAGGGAGTGGGGGCAGACATTTATTATGATAGATAAGATTGACTGAGGGCCTTTTATTTGGAGAAGGGCAGAGCCCTGATCTGTATAGACTCTCATTTCATTTTTTAATGAGTCTTATTAAGAAATAATTGATATATCATCCTAGCTGGTTTGGCTCAGTGGATAGAATTTTGGTCTGCCAACTGAAGGGTCCCGGGTTTGATTGCGGTCAAGGGTACCTATGTTGCAGTCTCAATCTCTGGCTCCAGTCGGGCATGTATGTTAGGCAACCAATCCATGTCACATTGATGTTTCTCGCTGTCTTTTACTCTCCCTTCCACACTCTAAAATTAGTGGAAAGATATCCTCGGGTGAGGATTAACAAAAAAATAAAATGAAACAATTGATACACATCACTGTATTAAGTTTAAGATATACAGCATGATTGTCTCATTTAAAAAAAAAAAAGTATTTTTATTGATTTCAGAGAGAAAGGAAGAGGGAGAGAGAAATTGAAACATCAATGATCCCATGGGGAATCAACCCCAAACCTGGCAATGTGCCCTGATTGGAAATTGAACAGTGACCTCCTGGTTCATAGTTCGACACTTAACCACTGAGCCACGCTGCTGGGGGTTGGTCTCATTCTTTATGCAGGGGCATCCTCAAAAAGGGCAAGGGCTGTGCACGCCTGGGAGACCAGCCCATTTCCATTGCTTCTCTATTTAATAAACCAGCTTTTAATTTTTAGAAATTTATTGATTAATTTGAGAGAGAAAGAGGGAAGGAGAGGGAAGCATCAGTTTATTGTTCCACTTATTTATGCATTTATTGGTTGCTTCTTGTATGTGCCCTGACCAGGAATTGAACCCGTAACTTTGGCCTATTAGGACAACACTCTAACCAACTGAGCTACCCAGCCAGGGCTGCCTAACAAAACAGTTTTTAAACCTGTACTGCCTCTTTCTCAAACCTTCAATCTCTTCTTCCCAGGGGCCTCTTTATCATTGATGATAAAGGTATCCTTCGCCAGATCACTGTGAACGACCTTCCTGTTGGCCGCTCTGTGGATGAGACTCTGAGACTAGTTCAGGCTTTCCAGTTCACTGACAAACATGGGGAAGGTAATTCAGTCTGTATGGTGACAAGACAACAGAATGGTGGATGGATGGGAAAGATGTGGTAGGAACAAAGTCTACCAAACAAGGAGGGTGGTTATGTCTCTGAGAAATTGAAGTCTCTGGATTATAGTGGGTTGTGAAAGTGGGGTAATAGAAAAGCCTGGGGAGATTATAAAGGTTAGAAAGGCTTCTGCCCTGCTCAGCATTACTACTACAGAAGGAATGTAGAAGGATCTCATAGGTGGTGTATAAGAGTGAAATGAAAGGTTAAGAATCACATCAAAAAGTAAATATGCTGTTTTTTGGGAGAAGAGTTAATCCCTGTAGTCCGTATCTGTTGTTAATCCTCAACCAAGGATATTTTCCCACTGATTTTTAGAAAGTGGAAGTGAGTGGGAGAGTAACATTGATGTGAGAGACACAGCTATTGGTTGCCTACACACGCACCTGAACCATGCTGGGGGTGAAGCCTGCAACCAAGATATGTGCCCTTGACCACATTGGAACCCAAGATCCTTTAGTCTGGGGGCTGATGCTCTATCCACTGAGCTAAACCAGCTAGGGCTTATTGTTACTATTTTAAAAATAAATTTTTATTGATTTTAGAGAGGAAGGAAGAGCCTGCAACTTGGGCATGTGCCCTGACTGGGAACCAAATGAGCATACTCTTGTTGCATGGGACAGTGCTCAACCAATTGAGCCACACCAGTTAGGACTGTTTTATTGGGGTTTTAAAGCTAAAGATAATAGCCGAAGCCGGTTTGGCTCAGTGGTAGAGCGTGGGTCTGCGGACTGAAAGGTTCTAGGTTCGATTCCGGGCAAGGGCATGTTTATTGGTTGCGGGCCCATCCCGGAAGGGAGTGTGCAAGAGGCAGCTGTTGATGTTTCTCTCTCATCGATGTTTCTAGCTTTCTATCCCCCTCCCTTCCTCTCTGTAAAAAAACATTGACCAGCTGCCTCCTGAATATCCCCTACCGGGGATGTGCCTGCAGCCAGTGTACATGCCCTTGACCAGAATTGACATTGGTTGATTCTTTTTTTTTTTTTTTTTTTTTAATATATTTTATTGATTTTACACAGAGAGGAATTAAGAGGGACAGAGAGTTAGAAACGTCGATGAGAGAGAAACATCGACCAGCTGCCTCTTGCACCCTCCCCCACTGGGGATGTGCCCACAACCAAGGTACATGCTCTTGACTGGAATCGACCCGGGACCTTTCAGTCCGCAGGCCGACATCCACTGAGCCTAACCGGTCCCGGTTGGTTGACTCTTATATGTGCTGTGATGGGGATTGGAAAATGGAGGCTTGAACCCACCAGCATATGCTACTCATGCTATCACAGGTGGCAAGATATCATCCTTTTTTATGGCCAATAGTCCATTGTATATATGTACCTCAATTTTTAAAAAAATATATATTTTATTGATTTTTTTACAGAGAGGAAGGGAGAGGGATAGAGAGCTAGAAACATTGATGAGTGAGAAACATCGACCAGTTGCTTCCTGCACACCTACTGGGGATGTGCCCGCAACCCAGGTACATGCCCTTGACCAGAATCGAACCTGGGACCTTTCAGTCTGCAGACCTATGCTCTATCCACTGAGCCAAACCGGTTTCGGCTGTACCTCAATTTTTTTTATCTACTCATGTATTGATGCTTTGCTCTTTTTTGAATTTTTTATTTTTTGGTGTGGTTGAATTGCAGGATTTTTTTTTGCATTTTGGATATTAATTCCTTTTCAGATACAAGATTCATAAATATTTTCTCCCATTCTGTGGGTTTGCTTCACTTTATAATGTTCTAAAAGTTTTTAATTTTGATCAAGTCCAACTTATCTGTTTTTTTTATTGTTGCTTGTGCTTTTTGCATCATATCTAAGAATACACTTCTAAATCCAAGGTCATGAAATTTATGCAGAAAGCATAGCCTTCAACCTTTCTCTGCCGTCCTGAACTAGCAATGCTCCTTAGGCTAACCTGAGGAAAGTGAGCCAAGGGATTAATTACTGATTTTCCACTTGGAAGAGTTTATGGTTTTAGCCCTTATAGTTACTTCATTAATTCATTTTAAAAAATATAAATATATATTTTTTTTACAGAGAGGAAGAGAGAGGTATAGAGAGCTAAAAACATCGATGAGAGAGAACCATTGATCAGCTGCCTCTTGCACACCACCCCCTACTGGGGATGTGCCCGCAACCAAGGTACATGCCCTTGACTGGAATCGAACCTGGGACCTTTCAGTCCACAGGCTCTATCCACTGAGCCAAACCAGTTTTGGCTATTAATTCATTTTTTAAAAATTGATTACTACATGTGGGGGGAGAGAGAAATGCTGATCTGTTGTCCCATTTGTTTATGAATTGGTTGATTCTTTAAAAAAAAAAATTTATGTATATATATATATATATATATATATATATATATATTATATATATATATTTTAATTTATTTCAGAGAAGAGGAAGTAATGTTTTTATTGATTTCAAGAAAGAATGGATAGGAGAGAGAGAGAAACATCAATGAGAATCATGTATTGGCTGCCTCCTACACACCCCCTACTGGGGATAAAGCCCATAGCCCACACATGTACTCTGACTGGGAATAGAACTGTGACCTGGTTTGTAGGTTGACACTGAACCACTTAGCACACTGGCTGGAACATTGATCCATTTTTGAGTTATTTTTTGTAAGTTAGGGGTCCAGTGTTATTCTTTTGCATTTGGAAATCAACTGTCCCAGCACTTTTTTTTTTTTTTTTTTTAAAGTATATCTTTATTGATTTCAGAAAGGGAGAGATAGAAACATCAATGATGAGAATCATTGATTGGCTGCCTCCTGCACGTCCCCTACTGGGGATCAAGCCCGCAACCCAGGCATGACCCTTGATGGAATCGAACTTGGGACCCTCAATCTGCAGGCTGACCCTCTATCCACTGAGCCAGACCAGCTAGGGTAGCACTGTTTTTTTTTAAGAGCAGCATTTAAGCTTATTTTTAAAAGATGTATTTGAAGCATATATGAAATTATAGAGAACACGAATGCCCCTTTATCTACTATCTACTGTTAACAAATCTTGCCTTAGATGCTATAGATATATATTTTTTAAATATATTTTATTAATTTTCCACAGAGAGGAAGGGAGAGGGATAGAGAGCTAGAAATGTGGAGGAGAGAGAAACATCGGCCAGCTGCCTCTTGCACACCCCCTACTGGGGATGTGCCCGCAACCAATGTACACACCCTTTACTGGAATCGAACCTGGGATCTTTCAGTCCCCATACCGACGCTCTATCCACTGAGCCAAACCGGTTTCGGCAGATGCTTTTGATATTTTTGAACAAAGCTTACTGTTGAAACGATTGCTTTTTAAAAAAATTCAGGTGCTGAATGAATAAATCACGTATAATAGTAATAAGGCTATTTTGAGGATTAAATTGCATGTTGTTAGCCTTGCACTAAAAGGCTTTGTATTTATGATCTTAGACTGTAGTTTAGGCTTCCTGGTGCTTGAGTATTACAGGCTCTTTAGGGCTCGGATTTAGTTTTGAGGAATTCGTTTGTCCATGAGAGCTCACCACTGAGCAAATTAATAATTGGTGGCCACTTTCTCTTGCAGTGTGCCCAGCTGGCTGGAAACCTGGCAGTGACACCATCAAGCCTGATGTTCAGAAGAGCAAAGAATATTTCTCTAAGCAGAAGTGAGCATGGGGTCATTATACGGTCATGTGGCAATGTACAGCCATGAGAACAGAACCTCTCTTCTACTATTGTCATGCTTAAAACAAGATTTTAGACTTAGCCCAGATGTGGCCTTTCCTGTAGGGCTTGGGGAGGGTCAGCCATACTTCTCTGGAGGAAATTATCTCATGTGAACAGTAGTGGGACATCACCTTTTGATCTTTTGTAGTTTCTATTAAACTTGAACTGAGACCTTGTTGTTTCTTCATTTTAGGGACATTAGTCTTTGATTTACTCTTTGCTTTACTATGGTAAAATGAGAAGTGAGAGCTGCTTCAGAAACACAAAAATTATAGAGGGGAAGTACAAGACACAGGGAATGGAATTGAACCAAGCTGTTAACTTCATTTAAAAAAAAATGTTTTGATTTCATAGAGGGGGATAGAAACATCAAAGATGAGAGAATCATTGATTGGCTACCTGTTGCGCGCCCCCTACTGGAGATTGAACTGGTAATTTGGGCTCGTGCCCATTGAGAATTGAACTGTGACCTGGATCATGGGTTGATGCTCAACCACTGAGCCACACCCACACCACACCAGGTGGGCAAGGTGTTAACATTTTTTGTTATATCTGGAAAGAAGAGCAAGACTTGCTCTGGTGTTATCCAAGGTACCGTACTTAACATTTATATTATAGGCTGCATTGTAAGTTAAAGCACCAGTGATATTGATTACTTGGGTATTTATCCTACAGTATAGGGAGGGCTGCATGAGGACCTTAAGATGACTTCCTTTTTTTTTGTAAGTGTTTTTGTTTTTAAATTCTTCCTCGAGGATATGATTTTATTGGTTTTTAGAGGGGAGGAATGGAGTGAGAGAATCATAAATATGAGAAACATCAATCAGTTGTTTCCCACATATACCCTGAATGGGCATTGAACCTGTAATCTAGATGTGTGCCCTGACCAGAAATGAAACCTGCAACTTTTTGGTGTACAGGACAGCTCTTTAACCAACTGAACCACCCGGTCCAGGGAGATTTACCTCTGATGAAAATCTGCTACTGGTTTTGTAAAAGGTTAGCATTAGAGGCTCTAATTTTATAACTGAAAGGGAGAAGGTAAGCACAGTGTTGGTATTTGTAGGATAGAACCTTCCAAATCAAAAGCTTAAGGTTGAACACTTCTCACCTTCCCTGGGGTCTAGCCTTGATGTGAGGTAGTCCTTTTTTTGGCCCTCATTCATACTACTGTCCTGAAAAAGGTAGTTCTACGGGTTTGGGTTCCTCCTGGGCTTTTAAAGCTACAACGGAATCAGAACTGAGGATATATTATATGGTGACCTTCCAGCCTATCAAACATCAAGACATGTGCAGCATTACAGAATTCCTAACAGCTCATAATACTGCAGTAAGCTAGGCTGTTTCAGAAATGCTTTACATATATTCAGTCCACACAATAACACTATGATACATTATTTATTTATACTATTATTTAGAGCACATGTGTCAAACACAAGGCCCGCGGGCCAAATCCGTCCTGCCAGGCCTTGCAATGTGGCCCGCACCGCGCTGTCATCACTGCACTCCGCTGCGTTTCCATCACAATGACAGTTTATGACTGTTCAGTAAACCATTCGGCCCGCGATTTAGGCTGGATTTTAGATTTTGGCCCCTTCTCTGATTGAGTTCGACACCCCTAATTTAGAGGATTGGTTGTCTCTTATGCCCTACATCTAGCATCTTAGAGCATTGCAGATAAATGGTAACAAGCAATAAATATCCCTTTGTCCTTGTAACATGTAGCACTGCAGACTAATGGTAACAGGCAATAATTCCATATGCCCAGGCAGGTGGGAATTCAGAATCTGCCTTTGTCTTTTATTCTATTGAAATACTAATAATGATTTAATAAGTCTTCAATTTCTTAGTGTCTTGACCAGACTTCTGAGCCTCATTATCTTCATTGAAGATCTCTACTATATAATTCTTTTATCAAAAGTAATCATCTTTTAGCTAAAATAGAACCTTTGCCTTGTCAAAGCCAGACAGGGCTTACCAAGTACCATTGGTATAAATAGGGATCCTACAGGTGAGGTGGGTATCAAGGGCCAGGGGATGCCGGTGGTGAGACCCTGGGGCTGAGCCACCCCCTGGCTCTGCTGAGATTCTGTGACTTGGGTATCAGTGTGGTAAAGAGAAGCTCGGGGGATGCAGAACTAGGCTCCCTTGAGGGTTGGGCCAAGCCCAACAAGGCCAAGCGCTGGGCAGGTGGTGTGGAAAAGTAGGCCTTCTGCTCTTCGGAGTAGCGCTCCTGGGGTGTCACAACATCCCTGTAAGTCCAGTCACGCCAATGAAAATTGAAGCTTTCAAGCAGGGCGATTCGCTCAGTTCTTGTTGGCACACAGTCAAGGGGTTTAGTGGGTGGCAAATCAGGCACTTGTATTCCTGGCAGCAGCAATACCCCTCGGATGGCAAACCAGCCCCCAAATCGGGGATGTATGCACACACCTGCTATACGCTGGGGAGAGGGTAAAGAAAAGAAGGTCATGGACATCACCTTGGCACCAAGTTCAATTATCACTGCAACTAGGCTTTTTCACTTATTCACACAATGGACACCAATTTCACTGTGAGCCTCATCTACTCTTGTAGATGAGCTTACTCTGGCCATGAGGAAAGATTTTTTTTTCTTTCTTGATTTTTTTAGAGGAAGGGAGAGGGGGAGACAAAGACATTGATCAGCTGCCTTCTGAACCCCGCCGCCCCCCCCCCCCCCCCATATGCTGGGGATGTGCCGCAACCAAGGTACATACCCTTGACCAGAATCAAACCTGGGACCGACCCCTCAGTCCACAGGCTGATGCTCTATCCACAGAGCCAAACTGGTCAGGGCAAGGAAGGGTTTCTAAAGCAGAGTTTCAATTTCAAAGTCTCACCATGGATCTAATCATTGCTCTGCCCTCTCCATTATGTAATAGTTTTATGAATAGACAGATCCCTTAATTATAGACTCTAGAAAGCATACGGGGCTGGACTGCTGGGTAGGGAATACCTTCTTCCTGGATTGTATCTACAAACTCCTTTACCCCTGGGAGGTAGGAGAATGTGAGAACTGAATGTGATGGGCCTTCACTATTTTCTTAGTCTCTCGTCATTCATACTTGCCCTCTGACCTGGGTTCCCCAGGGATCAGCCTCTACATCCTGTCGTTGGTAGTAGTAAGCAGCCCCTGCCACATGGGCTGCTGTCTGGGCCAGAATCTTGGGGCGCCGGTTGGGGTGTACCTCGTAGTCAGCGATAACTTCAATCTGCAGCTCTGGGAGGCTCTGGGATGGAGGACAAGATGGAGGCATCTTTTAACATGACAGGAATCATGACCTTGTCTTAGCCCTAATTTGTGTCAACAAGGTCCTCTCCTCAGAAGTTGTGTTTGAAAGGAAGACAACCTTAAAAGGGGTTGGGGGGGAGGGGTGGGGTCCAGTGTGAAGAAAATGATACACGTTTAAAGGTCTTGCTCAGAAACCTCCATTATGAGAGGTAAGCTGGCTCTGCCCTCCAGAGTTCCAGTGTGGAGGAAGACATGGGAGATCCAGTGTTGTATATAATTCTATAATATTAAAAGCATGATATGCAAATTGACCAAACCACCGAACAGCAGAACCGTCTGGATGACCACGCTATGACATGCACTGGTGCCAGGCCAGCCAAGGCGGGTGCTATGCGATTGGTGGTAGGGGACCACCATCACCCCATGATCATCCCACGGAGGGAGGCCCAAGCCACCTTCAATGGGGCCATCAATCGGGGGCTCTGCAGAACCAGGGAACCAGAGGTGTGTGGCGGTGGATACGGGCAGCACCAGGCCAACGTGGGTGTGGGCAGGTGTCAGGGCAGAGAAGCTGGCAGCCAGGGCTGCAAAGCCAGCAGCTGGGGGAAGGAAGGCCTATCCATGCAGGAATTTTGTGCATTGGGCCTCTAGTATGTAAATATGTACATGTGAGTGTGTGGCAGGGAAATATTGTTTTGTCCTTAAGTCCCCAAAGACAGCATAAAACTTCCAGGTCTAGAGCAAAGACAGGTGAGAGACGCCTGGGAAACGTTGGATTATTCATATTTCATTTGGAGGTCAAGGGAAATCTGGTCTGAGGTTCATTTATTGATAGTTGTCCATCAGCGTAGGGCGAGTGAGACTGATTTCAGACCTGGGGGGCTCCTAGAGGAAGGAGACTCAACTTGCATTGGGAATGCAGAATGGGGAGATCACAAAGTCAAGGCTGGATTTCATCCTATGGAAGTGGCCCCTAACCTTAGATAGATCTAGTTCTGCATTGAACTTGGAGTAGCTAAAAGCAGTTGCAGGTTTAGAAGCTGGGGGAGGATATGAAAGCTGCTCACCTTTCTAACGCGGCCTAGGTGGTAGGCCACACATTGGTCCACAGGGTCAGTCAGTGGTTGGAGGTGGCCGCTCTGCAGGAAGGGCTTGAGGGCCCGGTCAAACATGGCAGGTGTGCTGAGTACCAGGAAGGCCAGGGTAGGTCCTGGCAGGGGCAGGTGGAAGGCTGAAGGCAGGACTGCATTGTACCATGCCACCTGGAACAGAAAATACATACCTTAACCTGGCATTGAAGGTCTCATATATTGTGTCCCAGCCTCCATCTCATTCATTCAATCATTGAATTTCTACTGATGCTCTGTGATGTGTGTTTATGGGGCATTTGTCTGAATTTGACAGGAAGTTAGACTAGAGAGGGAATTAATGAACAACTAAGAACAAAACAGTTGACTGGTACAACGACAGGGCCAGGTGACCGTCCTCTGAAATTAGAAAAGGCTTCTTGGAAGCTGAGCCTTTAAGGCTGGGAGGGAAGTGAACAGGCCGATGTGGGGAGGAAGACTGGTGTGCATTCTAAAAGATGACAGCATAAACAATGTCAGGCAAAAAGTACAGGGCGTATTTGGAGAATTGCAAACTTTGAAGGGTCTGTAGAGGAAAGCAGAGGGAGAGAAGGCTGGAGATAGTGGGAGTAAGATTATGACTGGCCTTGGATTCCAATTTAGGAATATGGGTCGAATTTGGTAATAATGCAGGCCATTAAAGATTTAAGGAGTAAACTGACAGTAGCTGCAGTGTGCAGGATGAGTTGGAGGCAAAATGACAGCAAGGTTATTGCAATAAATTCAAATGTGAAATGATTTGGACTAGAGCCATGGTCGGCAATCTGCGGCTCACAAGCCACATGAGGCTCTTT